GTCAGCCTTTTTTGTCGTTCAAATATCTCCGCCGAAATATTGTGGGATGGGGGGTGGCTTCTGCGTCAGTTGTTACCTTACAGTGAGGCGGAGTTTAATAGTCATCATCTAAAATTGTTGAAAGTAAGTTATACATGGAATAGTACTGAGAACATTTTTCTCGATGAAAGCTCGGTTTCTTATAGAATATAAAAAGAGAGAGCACTTTCTTTTTCTGTTTTTAATTGTTTGAAGGAAATATGTCATGCTTATTACTTACATCAGTAAATGAAAGGGTTTAAGCTTATTTTTTCTGATCTTTTTTCTCTTTGAAATTTAATAGGATTCATATAAGTACTGCGCTTCTGAGCTCCTAAAGGAAGCTAGAGGGATTTGGTCGGATTTCCTCATTATTCTTCTCTCAGACGAGTGGAAAAAGTGCAAAAGAGGTATTTATTTAATGTGATTTGACGAATGTTAAGTGTATCAAGTGTTTTCTGGGGGCTGAACCACTAAACTTTTCGTAGTAATTGAAGCCCCATCACCAAGGAAAGAACCAAAATGCATGCTCTTGCACCATGCGAAGGCTTCTGTTCTAGGTAAGAATAATGACTAGCTATAAGATTCATAGTCTTATTATTTTGTCAGAAGTTGGGTGGTTCATTTAATGTATGGTGACTTGAATGCTACTGCCCCAAGATTTTAATGTTACTTCTTGTCCTTACAGATGATGCTGTTCCACCTGAATCATCATTCGCTGCTGGTCAAAGAATGTCTGAGTTGGTTAAGGTACTTCCCTCTCGCTCGGAAAATATGAAATAGATTCAGTTAGAAGTTAACAAATTTGAAAAAGGACAAAAATAAAAGGGAACAAACATTAAAATATCATACACTAGATTGCCATAAATTTCAAAAAGGTATCTTTAAACTTACCAGTTATTGATGCCCGACCAAGGGAAAATTTAAGGCATCATGCTTTTGCATGTATTGGGAAGATACTCCTTGGCGGGGGTTATCTCTACTTTGGGCCCTTAGGTTATTCGCCCCTCTTTGTGTCTATAACGCTTGTTCTGTTTCTTATTCCAAAAAATGAATGAAATGCATCATGCTATGCATCAATTTCAAATTCTCTGTGAGAATGCCCTGAAATATCTTCTGAATCCATTCAATCAACTTCCGAATCTGCCATTAATCAAGATAGAAGGGAAAAACTAACTTCCACCAAACTTTAGCTTATGATCACTTGTCCAGATAAGTTAAATTATTGATCATCCGAAACTCAGCTCTAGACAGATGCGGGTTTACGCACGTACATTATTGTCTTAAAGTCGAATTGTTTCTTAAACAAAAAAATGTCAGCTACTTTAAACATATTTTCCCTCCAAAATGGGTGAGATTAAGTAAATGTGAGTGAAAAGATTCAGGATATTTGTTATATTTGTTTTTCCCCATGCAATTTACTATTCTGTATGAAGCTTCTTTTAGCAATATCTTGTCCTCTTTCCATTCCAGGTATTTGTTCTTCTACACCAACTTCAGTCATTTTCCCATGGCAAGGCTTTGTCAGAACAGCCTGGTATTGACCCTCCCTCGGAAATTCCTGAATGTTCCCGTGCAAAGGTTGCTGAACTAGATGCTTCAGGACCTAAACCGGGTGCTGAGATGAGACTTGGTTAGTTCTAAACTTAGAATTGCATACTTTAGGTTCTACCATATTTTTAAATTAATCACGTAGGTTGCCATGAGTATGTGAATAACTATCCTTGTTCTTGCTATGTAGATGGTTCTGTTCCTTGTAGAATTGCATTCGAGAGGGGAAAAGAGCGCCATTTTTACTTTCTTGGAACTTCTATGGGAACTTTCGGGTGGATAATTCTTGCTGAAGAAGTGCCATCGAAACCGAATTATGGAATTATTCGAGTTGCTGCACCTCTTGCTGGGTCAAATGTAAGATTTCATTCGCATGAAACTATTTAATTGCAAATCTTTAATTTTTCCTTGCCTGGATGATTATGAATTCTCAAGTTATAACTGTTTTTCTGCTCCTATCAGCCTAGAATTGATGAAAAACACTCAAGGTGGCTGCATTTGAGAATTCGTCCATCAACGTTACCCTTTCTGTATCCTGCTAAACACGGTACCCCGTCAAAGTTAAAGACGAAACCTTTTGTGGATGGGAGATGGATCCTAGCATTCCAGGACGAGGATTCTTGCAAATCCGCTTTGTCTATGGTTCTGGAGGAGATTAATCTGCAAAGCAAGGAGGTAGAGAGAAGACTGAAACCATTGGTCGATCTCGAACGATCTGTAGATTCATCGGATGCATCTGTGTGTTCTTCTAAGACATTGACTTCTAATGCAACTCCTAATCTATTGTGAGTATCAATCAATGTATCAATTTTCATATATGTTATTCCCCTAATAATAGAATTGCTTAATCACCGGGTGATGTATTATTTTATGTAACCACCCTTCTATATGTTCAGCTCCCTACCTCAGAATGCGAAGCAAAGAAGAGTAGTTTTAGCATCTGAGAGTTTGTATCATTCTTTGTATAGTCTTTTTTTCCCCTCATTTGTTGACTGGTTTTAGCCCTTCATTCTTTTGTTGATCTAACCATATAGTTGATTGAACCTTAATGTTGGTGCAATTTCCCCTAAGCTTTTTTTCAGCATGATCTTAGCTTCTCTTTGTTGGCATGGATATTCTCTCTCAATCTCTTAGTATTATAAGGTTTAAATTTTGAAGACATTTTCGATATTGTATTCTTTCGGTTTTCTCTTTCGATTTTTTCCTCGAGGTTTTTAAAACGCGTCTGGCTAGAGTGTTTCGTTCTTTTCCAATCGATGTGGAATATTCACCTCTCTTCGGGGTTCAGTGCCCTCACTAGCACCCTTTTCCAAGAGATGTGGGATCTCTCCAATCCACCCCTCTTGGGCCCTATAGTCATTGTTGTCACACGACCTTGTGTCCACACTCCATTTGGGGTCAGCCTCTTTGTTGGTACATCGCTCTGTGTTTAGCTTTGATATCATTTGTAATCGTCCAATTTTGTTGCTAATATATATTGTCCTCTTTAGACTTTTCCTTTCGAGCTCTTTCTCAAGGTTTTTAAAATGCATCTCGAGACAATTAAGATGAAATATATACTTTTTGTCTAGAAAGTAAGACTTTTAAGTTTAAGATCGTGCATTTTTGAGACAATTAAAAAGATTTTAACCATGTCGAGTTTTATTTTGCTTCCAATAATTAGAGATTAGCACCGAAGATGATTAAATACTTTCACTAGTTACCCAAAGAAGTAAAAGAAGTTGGTCAATGATTGAGACATTGCCTCAACTTTTTCGAAGATAAATCTATACTCATTATCCTCAATGAGTAAAAGAACTTGCAGGAAAATTATATCAAGTGATTTTAAGAGTTAGGGAAAATTCCTTGTTTTCAGCCATGCATTTGGGCTAAAACAATGAAATGATTTCTCGTATAATGATATTTCATGAGAATGGTTTTTGGCGAATGACGTTTTGGTATACAATAGGTCAAATTTTCAGTTAACATTATAAAAAATCAATCTATACGTCAAGAACATTTATTATTACGAAAGATATAAAACTGTTCGCATCGAATGAGCGTCAAGTGGTTGATATTATCCCTCCAGGACCAGAACTTCTTGTTTCAGAGGGCGAATCTATCAAACTGGATCAACCATTAACGAGTAATCCTAATGTGGGAGGATTTGGTCAGGGAGATGCGGAAATAGTCCTTCAAGATCCATTACGTGTCCAAGGCCTTTTGTTCTTTTTTGTATCTGTTATTTTGGCACAAATCTTTTTAGTTCTTAAAAAGAAACAGTTTGAGAAGGTTCAATTGTCCGAAATGAATTTCTAAATCTGCGTATTTATCAATATCAGAAGAATGATGTACTACTACTCACACCTCTTATTCCATCTCCACCACCCGCTCATTTTACTCCGTCCTTTTTCAAGTGGACTTCCACCCAGAAAAAAAATAAATTGATAGATGGTACAAAGCCAATACCTAATGCAAACACCATCTGACAAATGACCCTAAGATTGACCCGATGTTTAAAGCTGAAACCCGACATCTAAGACCTTACTAATTCAGGAAAAGTGGAGACCAAATGATTGCATCCAACGGTGGGTGTGAGCCCTTTCACTTTCTTTATATATATATATTTTGAAAAAAAAAAAATTAGGTTCATAAAAATCATTTCATGTGTTAAAAAGATTTTTCTTTGGGCTATGATCATAGGGGAATCATAGCTTGAACACTTTATTGGCCATACATTTTTGTTAGTGCATATTCCCAATTCCCCTTTTTGTAAATCCCCACCAAAAACAAAAAACTTATTTATATACTTATCAAAAGAAGTACGGATCGCTCGAGACGAATTATTTAAATAAATGGGTACCGTAATTTGTCATTTCAGTTGAATGATATAGACGTTTGACAAATCTGATTAAATTCGTTTTTTCGTTTTACACATTTAGTCATCATTTCACAGCACTGAAAATTATAAAAATGTGTTAAATACTCTCTAAGCTTTTATCATTATTTTATTTTTGTGTGCACCAAAAAAATATAAAATTTATTGTGGACACGATTCCATAAATATAGGATCATCAGGAACCAACAATCGAGTACACCTGAAAACGATATTATGATATCAAACAAACATCAAGCCAAAAATTGTCAAAACTTTCTTTTTTTATCATCGAGCAAGTGAGTTTACTTATCAAGACAAATATTGTAAAAAAAAAAAAATGATAATAAGAAATATGAACATTGATAATTGTATGTTATAGATAGAGAATGTTCATTTTCTAATAGATTTAGTGGAGGCGGAGTGAGGCTTGTAGCTCAACGTGACTACAAAGCACACTATTACAAGTTTGAATTTCTTCTCGTCCTCAACCGACAAAAAAGGAAATTTATTATAGAACTTAAAGTAGTCAGATATTAACGTGTTTATTTATGAATGATTCGTTCGAGAAAGTCAGATTCAAGTGAAAGTCGTTAAGAAAAGTGATGAAATATAGTTAAAGGACTAGAGATTTTACATTTTACATGAAAGACCACTTTCAATCCATAGAAGAAAGTTTGATTTTTTTAGGGAGACAAGAACCCATATACCCTTCTTCGTGTTCTTCGTGTTCTTCCTCCAAAATGTGTTTTTGATCCAAACACAGCCTTATATCTATACCCCCTTCCTGTTTCCCGCCATATCTACCACCTTCTAAGCTCGTTTGAAAAATCTCTTTCACCCATTTTTCAAACACTTTGTTAGAAAATGAACCAAATCCCTCTACAATCCCTTCTAAAACCCCCTCTTCCACCCTAAATCTACAATCCCAATTCCAATCCCAATCCCATTTCCACTTTTTACAATTCTCCTCGTATGCCCCCGTCATTATCCGCCTCAGTTGCTCTCTGATTTCTGATTCTTGTGTTGATTTTGATTTCAGAAGGAACCGATTTGAGATCGATTCCATAAACCCATTTGCTGGTTTCAGATTGTACATCGTTGTTTCGCGCGTTAGATCGCTCGATATCGGACTTATCTGCCCATTTGGTAATGTTTGATTCGTTTCTGCATCGTCTTGTTCTTGTTTTTGATCTTCTTCGTTGGCTGCTTTTTGGTTGAGATCGATTGTGTTGTTGTTGGTGCTTGATTGTCTGTTCTTATTGATTCTTGCTTTCTTCGATTTGTTTTCGATCTCCCGTTCTGCCTTTCGCATGTGTTTTTCCCTAGCGTCGATTTCTAGGGCCATCTCGATTACAGATGATGAAGAATCTCTGTTCTTCTTTTTATCGGAGGAATCGTCTTTTGTTAAAACGAATATCAATTTTTCGATGCTTTCTTCTTTTACTTCTCCGAATTTCCCACTCTCGAATCCATCTTCCAGGAATTTCATGAACTGTGAATCCGCCATTTCCACATCTTCCACCAAAATCACAAGCTCTCTAGTCGATTTCAATGCCTTCTCCACCATTTCAGATCGAGAAATCCCCATTTCTTCGCTTTTCGAATTCAAGTTCAAGAAAAACTCAATAGATCCAAATACTGATTCTGCAATTGCTAGAGCCATCTTTCTCTTTCCAATGAAATCATTTCCCTCCATCAAAATCCATTGAATCCGTTTCTCATTCTTCTTTGCTGAAATTACTGTTTCTGCTATACTAGGAAGCGATTCTGATAGCCATGGTACATTCTCTTGCAGGACCTTCAAAATCTCTCCTCGTTCGGTCTTTCTTTCGCTTTCCATTTCCATGGATTCTGCTGATGAATCGTAGAACAGCGGATTCCCCAGAGCTAGAGTGATCTTCACTTCCTTCCCCACCATATGTTTGAGAGAATTCAAGCTTGGTGATGATTCTCGATCTTGACTTTGTTTTGTTGTTGCATTTCCAAAATCAAACTCGATTGTTGTGCATGATTGTTGCCTTCTGAATGGTGGGACGAAGTTGGAACTCTGTAATGGCTTTGGTGTTTGATTATCTGTGAAGGAAATTGAATTTGATTCATCAATCTTTGGCCACCATGGATATGATGAACAGTAAGAGAAGCTTTTTCCCATCAAGCTCTGAGCTGAACCATCTCTGTGTAGGCTGCTGCAAAATCTGTTCCATTTTTTCCTTAGTTCCACAAACTCATCCTGTAAAATTTGCAAGAATAAGAAAATTAAACGAATTGATTCTTATGTTTTTGAGCAATGAAACAACGTGATGAACAAGTTTTAGTACCTTTGAATGTGATTGATTGACATTATACTGTTGCAGCCAGGAGGGAACTTGCTTGGACTGGAAAGATTTCAAATGTTGGACTTCATTTTCGAAATTTGAAGTGCATTCAGCGCAGCAAGTAAGCTTTTCATGTTCTTCTTTTGCAATGAATTGCTTTGTTTCCATGGTTTGAGAGAAGAAACTTGGCCTTGAATCATAAACACTGCATAAACAAAGAAAAAATAGCAACAAAAACATGAACACTGGCTAATCTGAAGCAAAATCATTGTTGGTAAGCATTAATCATGTAATAGCTTAAGTCCACTGCTAGCAGATATAAGGGGATGAGAACAAAACATTTTTTACAGGGTGTGGAAACCTCAATAGCAAAAAAGAAAACATGAACACAAGCTAATCTGAAGCAAAATCATTCTTTGTAAGTGTTAATCATGTAACGGCCCAAACCTACCGCTAGCAGATATAAGGAGAGGAGAACAAAACATTCTTTATAAGGGTGTGAAAATCTCTTTTTAGTTAAAAACCTTGAGGGTAAGCCTGAAAAGGAAAGCACAACGAGGACAATATTTGCTAATGGTGGACTTGAGTCATTACAAATCTAGTGAGGGTGACTAATGATTTTTCTTTCTTCCTCAGTGTTCTCTAATCCCCATTTCATTCATAGAAGCATTTTTCTGCAAATATGAGAGGTATGTTCCTATTGCTTTCTGGCCCTGTTTTGAAAAAACTTAGCAGAAGAGAGAGAGATAAAGATGATTTGGGTTTCATATCTGCGAGTAAAACTCTGTAAAACAACACCATGCGTGGCTATATAATGACCAAAAAAGGGAGGAAACACAAGGACACTAGCCCATCTGACTTTCCCAGAAACACTTTTTCTTTTATGTTTCTGTCCTTATTCTCAGTCTGTCTTTAGGCTCCAACACAACAAAAGTACAACTACCCAACCCTTCTCTCTCCCCACATATATAAACTTCAAAATATTGATGATAATGGAGGTTCTCCATGCAAAACTCCAAACCAAGTAGTACTTTTTTCAGTCAAATTTGAAAAAACAGGAAGATACAAGGGTATAAAACAAAGAAAAACTAGGTATATATACAAGTTTTAGCTTCTAATGTTGTTGTAACGACCCTAAATTTTCTACTTAATTTAAAGTTGCTACTGTATGCATATTATGAATGCATCTTAAAACACTAGACTTACGTGTTCGAAAACAATTTAGCATACAATGTTCATGATGTGTATGCAGTAGCGACCTTACGGTTGTGTTTTTCTAATTTAGTCTCCTTGTTGGATGAATGAGAGAGAAACGGTAAATATCGGAGTTGTATCGAAGGAAACAAGGAATATACCTAGAAGTATGGAGAGTTAAGCCAAGTCCAGAAGAGGGAACAGGAACAGCATGAAGAGACCACTGAGTTTCAAGAGCAGGCTGTCTCATTTGACACCTCATGTAAATCTGATAACTCGCCATACCCATAACCCAAATCTTAGCTTTAGAACCATTGTTATTAGCATTAAGAAAATCCCCTTTCAGCAACCTCTCAATCTCCCCAACCAGGCGTTCAATTTCATCACTATTCCCTCCTTCCACAATCCATTTCAAGTCCCCAACATAAACCAGGACACCTCCGTCTCCATTATCCTTCACATACTCACCCAATTTTAAAGAAGAAGAACCCTTCATTAATGGAAGAAACTCCACAAACTTAACCCCTTTCATAGCCTCAGGAACCTCCCCCATTTTCACTTTCCTCATAACCTCAAACACTACCCCTTCTGTCAGCCCAACAGAGTCCCCAACAACAACAACATTAGTTCTCAAATTATTATTGTTCTTCCCCAAGAAAGCCTCAAACACTAACTTAGTTGCATCAGTAGTAGGAGGAGGAGGAGGAGAAGAAGAAGAGAAGAAAAAGGGGGTGTATGAGTTGGTTTGAGCAGAGAAGAAATGGGAAGAAATGGGAGAAGGAGGAGAGATAAAAATAGTGTTGTTGTTGTTGTTGTTGTCATTGTATTCTTCAATGTTGGTTTTAACAGCAGTGCTAGAAAAGCCAGCCTCTCTCATGACACGGCTGACACTCGGGTCGTCAAGAATGGAAATGATGAGATGTTGGAGCTCGACTTTGACTGTGAGAAGAGGGTGTTGCTGTTGTTGTTGGTGGTGGTGGTCGAGGGAGGAGGAGGAGGAGGAGCCACGGCGTTGGTGGGCTTGGGCGCGCTTGAGGGCAGCAATGAGGGCGTTGGATAAAGAAGGAGGGGAGTGAAGGAGAGGTGGGGAAGAGGGGAGGCGGTTGAGGGCGACATTGAAGCAGAGCTCGAGAGCTCTGGATTGGAGAGGGTGAGGAGGGTGGGATTTGAGGCAGGCGCGGCGGAGGAGAGTGGGGGGTTTGGAGTTATTAGAGAGGAGAGTGGAGGCTACATGGAGAGGAGTTACATGGGAATGGCCACGACGAGCGGCTAAAGAAAGGGAATGCTTCAGAACTGAAGCAGCCTCCGGTGTGAGGGTCTGCTGAGCTGCGCAAGTTCCTGATCGCATCACTTGCCCCACGCCCCCTACCACCACCCCCTTTGTTAATGGAACCTATGCTCTGCTGCTTCTTGCTTGTTTTCTTTACTTGTGATTCTTTCCCCACTTTCAACCCTTTTGGGTGTTGGCTTTGAGCTTTGTGTTTGAAGAAAGGAAGTGAAAGAGTTGGTGTCTTCTTTGGCTTGAGACTGAGAGAGATATTTGGATTTGGAAAATAATGAGCAAACCAGACAACCATCTTTATACTAAAACTTCATGCTGTGTAAGCGACTGGTATGAGAAAATAAAAGTAGGTGTGTCACTAAGCCTCGAAAGAGGTGAACAACGAGCAGTGTGCCAATGAGTACGCTAGGTCCTAAAGATGGGTGGATTTTGAGATCCCACGTCAATTTGAGAGAAAAACGAGTGTTGTGAGGACGTTTGGCCATGAAGGGTGTGGATTGTGAGATCTCAAATCGGTTGCAGAGGGGAACGAAACATTCTTTATATTGGTGTGGAAACCTCTCCTTAACAGACGCAAAACCTTGAAGGGAAACCCGAAAGAAAAAGCTAAATAAAGACAATATCTGCTAGCAGTAGACTTACAGTTACTAGTTTTCCTTCTTAACTTCAACGGTAATTAGCATCTATCTATTCATTCTCGTGAAGTTAAAAACCCAAATATCCAATACACTAAAAATGATATTTGCACAACAAATATAGAAATATGAAATACATTTGACGCTCACTTACACGAACATTCTAGGAGAAATCCATATAACTTGATTGTTGAGCAGATAATATTGTTTTGTTTTTATGTGATTTTTTTTTTCTCCCAACACTAATTGCCTTTATCTTACTGGATTACATACCACATTGCCTAAATTTTTACTATTTTTTTTTATTATATATAAAATGTCCAATTAAAATGTAGCACTTTTTTGGGGAGTAGTGAAGGAGGGGAAGGGAAGCATATTATTATTATTATTATTATTATTATTATATAAATAATAAAATTTATAGCATATGGTAATATTTATCTCTCATTATTATAAAAAGCTGCAAAATAAGATTTTTCAAAACTCTCTCTCTCTATCCTCATCAGATAATATATACTTTTAATTAAATTATAAAGAAAATGGGATCATACTCTATAGTTTATAATATTAATTACATAACAAAGAATCAAAACAGTATGATTATGGGGTTTGTTCAACTCCATTATTTTATTTCCAATGTTTTTTTATTTTTTTTGTTAATATATATATTAAATATATTTATTCTTTTTTTAAATGTGGAGTCCATTTCTAGTGGACCCCATAAGCTTTAAAATATATATTATATTTGGTTGTTCATGGTCATAGATCAGCTTCCCTCCTTTTAACACACCAACCTTTGAATGGGCAGACAGAGACAGAAGAAATTCAAAATGTTTTTTATTTAAAAAAAAAAAAAAGAAAAAGAAAAAGAAAAAGAAAAAGAAAAAGGAAAATTAATAAAGGTCAGAGAATTACTGAAAAAAGAGGGAATAGAATTTAGTGCGATGGAAAGAGTGTGAGAAATATGAATCTCTTTTTAGATCCTATTCTTAATATTTTAGTTGAATTTATGATACATATATAGCTAACTTTGCTCCCACATATGTATTGGAACTAATACCAACTAAGCAAATAGCTTTGACTTCAACAACAATAGACCGTGTTAGTTGTAAGAGATGTGAATTTGCCTACAGATTTCTTGAGTGTTTGCGTTTATTTATGGTAAGAAATACTCAAAGCATTAATCGAAACGTCTTGTTGTATTCTGTGTTTCTCACCATCGAATCTTGTAAGATTCTCGAGATTTTTTTATCGAAAACCAAAAAATAATTTAGGGTTTAAGTATATATCAAATTTAGGCATAAATATATGTAAAGAGTTTTAGAAATATTCTCATGACGTCTATACTTAGATGTCACACTATTTATTTCTCTTTATAATATTCCAAATATTCTCAATGTCATATCAATAAATTCCTCAAACCTATATCTATAGTTTACTTTGTAATTCTGTGAGATCCTGCATCGATTGGAGAGTCGAACAAAGTATTTCTTATATGCATGTAGAAACCTTTGTCTAATAGTTGTGTTTTAAAATAGTGAGACTGACAGTGATACATCTAGGCAGTGTGTAGGGAGGACACTAGCCCGTAAGGAAGATAAATTGTGAGATTCCACATCGGTTGGATATGGGAACAAAACATTTCTTGTATGGGTATGGAAATCTCTCCCTAGTAGACATATTTTAAAACAGTGAGACTGACAACGATACGTTCAGGCGATGTGTAGCAAGGACGTTGAGCCCCTAAGGGAGATAGATTGTGAGATCCCACGTCGATTGAAGATGAGGAAAAATATTTCTTATATGGGTATGAAAAATCTCTCCTTAGTAGACGCGTTTTGAAACCATGAGGTTGACGACGATCCGTTACAGGTTAAAATAGACCATATCTACTAGCGGTGGACTTTTTGAATCGTATAAAGAAACGGGTTATTGTGAGGCCAATTGTTGTGGATAGACAACATTTTATTCCCCAAGTCGAGACAACATTTTATTCCCCAAGTACCCAAAAAAGCAAAGCTGTGTCTACTCTCCTACCCACCATTATTGCCTCTTTTTTCACTCTCTATACAAACTGCAATACCCTTTGTCATAATCTCATCATTCTCAATCCCATTTCCAACCACCCACTTAAAAACTTTTCTTCTTAATTTAAACAAAATACCAATCTTTAAACCGACCCGTTTCGTCTAAGGGGAAGATTTAAATCTATGATCGAGAGAGGTAGGGTTACTACCAATCTTTAAACCAACCCGTTTTGTCTAAGTTGAAGATTTAAATCTACAATCGAGAGAGGTAGGATTACTTTGTGTTTAAACATAATTTAGAAGAGGTAGGAGACTTATCCACGAGAATAGTGATAGATCTTAAACTTTATATCGAAGGATAAACAAATTCATATCAAGTTAAATTATAAGTTTTAGTTCTCGAACTTTTAGATTTGTTTCTATGTTACGAGGGATGAATATGGGTTGGGTTGGAAAAAAATTTTTGATCCACCTGAAATTTTGGATTGGTGACTTGAACAACTCGAAAAGTCAAATTCAACCTAATCTAACACTCGATTTTTAGATTGGATTGTTGGGTTGTGCTTTTCTTTTTAATCGTTTTCTTACTTATCTACAATACACGTTACATTAATAACTAAAATCTTATAGAGTTCAAACAAGTCATAATACATCACTACCATTAGTTGTAAATGTTAAATATTAAACATTTGCAAGGTCCAATACCTGCCGCCATTCTGCACCTTGACCTGACCTCTCTGGTAGATTTGCTCCTCAAGCCGACATGTGTCCTTTCCCCAATTGTACTCACGTGACACGAGTATGTTGAGCGACTTCTAGCTCTCAGCTCGCATGTGGCTCAATTGAGTCGATTCCCCCTATGTTCGACTCTGCTTTGCCTCGGCTCAGTGGCTTTGCCTTGGCTTATCCAGCTAATTCGACTCAGTTGGACTATTTTGGACCACATTTTTTTGCTATATGGGCCCACTCTTATTATTTTGGACCGTCCCATAGCCATTTTTGACATTATTAAAAGTATTTGAGTTCAGTATGACCCTTATTTGCTCAATTTATATAATTGTGAGATGAAATATGGAATCATTCAATATCTTTAGGTGAGTTAAGCTCATTAGTATATTCTAACCTGATGTCGTGGACCCATGTAAATTTGAACGGGATTACAAAGGACAAATTTGGACTTGCACAAGGATAAATCAATGACTCTGACTTAAGCTAACCAAGTAGGTGATTTTACTATTAACTTGGTTGGATGAATAGAAGGAAAATACGTGTTCTGTAGCCTTCTATGTGCCATATTTTATAACGGTTTGAAATGTATTATGTTATGTTGTCAATTATGCTATGAGATGTTTATAACATGTTATGGACTTTATTGTGACTTCCATGTCGTATCTCATGATTTAAAGCTACGAGGACCTTATGCATTTTTGTATACCATGTGGATTGAGATATTTCTCTGCTATGATGAATACAGACATGTACATTATGATATCTATACGCCAAGATATTATGCAAGCTCATTTCCCTATATGGCTTTGGCAGTGTGAGCGTGCACTAACTGAAGGGTGCACCCACGGTAACATATATAGCCACTTGGTGGGTCTATATGTGTGAGTCGTATAGAGAAATACTACACATCCAATTTTGTCCCACCAATTCAACTCAAACGGAGTTGACAATCCAATTCAACAAAACCCTTTATTTTTAGTAGTGTTCGGTTAGGTTGTCTGGATGTGTTTTTTTTTTAAATTATTTAAAAAAGTCCACTTATCCCTAATACATGTTACTTTAATAACTAAAATCACATAAAGTTTAAATATCAAACATTTATAAGTCACAACGCACTACTAACATCAGTTACAAACATTAAATATTTTTTTTATCATTTTAAACATATGACATGACAGGGTTGAGTGTTGTAACCCTGTTTTTGAGTTGATCGGGATGATCCAACAAAAAGAAAAAAAATGCCAACTCGTAAATTGATTTTGTTTTTTTAAAAAATTTAACCCAACTTACATCAATAAGATGCTCTTTCCATTTCAGTTATGGAATTACTTAATCATAAGAATTCCAAAGTTAAATCTGTTTGGTTTAGAGGAATCTTACATTAGTTAGCCTCCCGAGAATTTTCGTAGAAAGTACGAGAGTAAAAACAAAACACATTAGCACGATCCATATTTGTAAACAGAGATAGTCTTCCCTCTTTGAAACAATTCAAGACAAGGGGTAACGTAACTTGATAGTCAAGACCATTAAACGTCGAATTCAGTGGTTCGATGAGCTAAGTTAATAAAAAAAAAAAAAAAAAAGTCCCCAAAGGAAATTCACCATTTCCGTTTGCATTAAAAGGGGCAAAAAGACAACGTATTAAAGTGGAAGAGAAAAAGAGAGCATTTAAAACTTAAAAAGCTAATAAAGTTAACCTTTCAGTCAAAATATCTCTCTTACCTAAAAAACTATATAATATATACAATAATTTTCAAATTTCTCATATGTTCACAACCTCACGTTTTTTGTCACCTTTTTTCTCTGTCTCATTCTTATTAAACCTTTATTATTTGTGGGTCCAATTCTCGACTCAATACACTAAAAAGTTTA